GACATAAATGCCGTGACTGAGTGTGTGACTGACTATAAACTTCTGTGTGGACAACACCATCCCCAGCAGAACAGTGAGATGCTTCCCTAATAACAAACCCTGGATCACCAGTGAGCTAAAGGAATTTTTAAACAAGAAATAAAGAGCCTTTAGGGATCGAGACAGGGAGTTATTGAGGAGTATACAGAAGCAGCTCAAAGTCAAGATCAGAGACAGAAAGGAGGTTTATAGAAGGAAGTAAACTGAAAAGGAAAAATATCAGAAATGTGTGGTCAGGGATGAAGAAGATCACAGGTTTCAAGCAAAAGGAGAATCGGATGGATGGAAGTCTGGACAGAGCAAATGAGCTGAACACATTCTTCAACAGGTTTATTTCAGGAACAAGCTCATCTTCCTCCTCTCCTGCCCCCAGCCAAACAGACATCTCACCCTCCTTTGACCCACAGCTTTCCTGTCAAACCTCAGATGTTTTRTCTTCAACCTCAGTCATGGACTTTTCTTCTACATCCACAAGTTTGTCTTCAACTAAATCAGGAGATGCTGCTGCTCCCTTCCCCCTTCCACTTTTCTGTATCTAGAAGTCAGGTGAAGAGGCAGCTAGAGAGACTGAACCAGACCCTGCAAGTCCAGATGGTGTCAGCCCCAGAGTCCTGAAGGCCTGTGCAGACCAGCTCTGTGGGATTCTGCAACACCTCTTCAACCTTAGTTTGACCCAGGAGAAGGTTCCATTGTTGTGGAAGACATCCTGTCTGGTTCCAGTTCCAAATATAACCCACCCATCAGCCCTTAATGACTATAGACCTGTTGCCCTGACTGACATCCCACATCATGAAGGTCCTAGAGAGAGACTCCTGTTGACCCACCTGAGTCAGCAAACAAGCACACGTCAGGACCCCCTGCAGTTTGCTTATCGTCGTGGAGTTGGGAGTTGACGATGCCATCATACACCTGCTTCAACAAACCCACTGTCATCTGGACAAAGCAGGCAGCACTGTGAGGATCATGTTCTTTGATTTCTCCAGTGCTTTTAACACAATTCAGCCTGAGTTGCTTTGTCTGAAACTCCAGAAGACTCCAGTGGAGGCCTCAACAATCGCCTGGATCAAAGACTACCTGACAAACAGACCACAGTTTGTGAGACTGAAGGACTGTGTGTCTAACCAGGTGGTCAGCAGCACAGGAGCACCACAGGGAACTGTACTCTCACCATTCCTGTTTACACTGTACACTTCAGACTTCCAGCACAAGTCAGACTGCTGTCATCTACAGAAATACTCAGATGACTCTGCAGTTGTTGGGTGTATCAGAGATGGAAAGGAAGCTGAGTACAGAGAGCTGGTGGACCGCTTTGTGACATGGTGTGGGAATAATCATCTCATCTTGAATGTGAACAAAACAAAGGAGATGACTGTAGATTTCAGGAGGAATAATGTTAGATCAAACCCTATTTCCATCATGGGAGAAGAAGTGGAGGTGGTTGAGGAATATAAACACCTCGGTGTTCATCTGGACAACAGACTGGACTGGAGACTCAACAGTGAAGCAGTCTACAAGAAAGGACAGAGCAGACTGTACTTCTTAAGGAAGCTAAGATCCTTCGATGTCTGCAGCAAGATGCTGCAGATCTTCTACAAGTCTGTTGATGAGAGCGTCATCTCTTCTGCCATCATCTGTTGGGGCAGCAGCATCAGAGCCAGGGACCTAAAAAGGCTAAACAACCTGATAAAGAAGGCTGGTTCTGTTCTGGGGACGACTGTGGAATCTCTGGAGATGATGGTGCAAAGAAGGATTTTACATAAAATCAAGAACATTGTGGACAACCCTGACCATCCTCTTCATCAGACTGTCATAGAAAGACAAAGTGTCTTCAGTCGGAGGCTTCTTCAAGTTCGCTGTATTTCAGATCGCTACAGAAGATCTTTCCTGCCCACAGCCATCAGCATCTACAATAAGTTTTTAGTTAAATGAGTTACAACACCAAATTTCCCTCTGGGATCAATAAAGTATTTTTGAATTGAATTTAAATTTTCTAAGATCAGTTGGCTGTGGTAGCTATCTTGATGTGGGTGGAATTAAAATGTTATTTAGTTGTAAATGTGCACCCAGCGATTACTTTCTAAATGTTTCATCAAAATGCATTAAGTTTTTGAAATATATTTTTCCAATAGAAGCTGTTGATTCCATTAGTTAGTTTTAAACATTGATAATGCACCTTCAGTTATTGCTAAAATGATACATTGGGGATCAGCCTCAGTTATGGGAAATTTTAGCTCAACATCTGTTAAACTGACTGACCTGTAGCCATTTATTCTTTGGTAAGAAGACTTTCCTTTCTCTTTCTGCTTCATTTAGTGATTCATGAGAAAATTTTCAGTGTAGCAATGGTGACAATTGAAAACACACACACAGAGTGAGAGAGATAGGCAAAAACGTATTGCTTTGCCTTTGGTAGTAGGCAATATTTATTTGGTAAACACTTAGATTGAATAGAGCAGGACCACTGAGTGGGAGTTTATCAGTGGTCAGTTTCATTCTACATATACTGTGCACATAATGAATGCAGTACCAGGTGTATGGTTTCTATTATTCATTGACCACTGTGGTTGTGAATGTGACAGTTTGACAGATTTTTATGCAAAAAATATTTTCAAGCTAAATATAAAATATATCAAAATCTTATTTATTTAATACAATTGCAGGTGAATTTATCTTTAAACAAAGCACCATATGACATTATTTCAACAAAATTCATCATTTTACTGCTGGCATTGACTGTAGTTAAAAGAAAAATGTACTTGCATTATTGCGTCTGTACATAAGTATTGGATTTGTGTTGATTTTCAGGGTTGCACAGTGTGACATATACTGTATGTTGCACGTGCTATGAAAAAAAACTGCTGTAAAAGAAAAAGACTTTGTAGCACTGGTGCGACAGCTTTGGAAACCGTTTTTTTTTTCTGTCCGTCCGTCCGTAATTTTTGTAATGCATTAAATTCCTGCATACAATAAATTCCAGCGATGTGTAATGTAGGCGTTTGATTCGGACTGTTTTAAATGAAAACCCGTTCCGTATAAACCTGACTCGGTTCAGAAGATGGAGAGAGAGAGAGAGAGAGAGAGAGAGAGAGAGAGAGAGAGAGAGA